TATGCTATATCTGCTACATGATTTACATTCATCGGCCAGTTTATTAGGTACACTCATCTACTACCAGGCATGACCTCCCTTTGCCTCCAGAACAGCCTGAATTCTTCTGGGCATGGATTCTACAAGTCGGAAATGTTCCACAGGGATGTTGGTCCATGCTGACGCGATGGCATCACACAGTTGCTGCAGATTGGATGGCAGTACACCACCGCCACCAGCCTGTACCATTGACTGGGATTCGTCAGACCAGGCAATGTTTTTCCACTCTTCAATTGTCCAGTGTTAGTGATCACGTACACACTGGAGATGCTTCTTCTTGTTTTTAGCTGATAGGAGTGGAACCTGGTGTGGTTGTCTCCTGCAATAGCCCATCCGTGACAAGGACCGACGAGTTCTGCATTCCGAGATGCCGTTCTGCACACCACTGTTGTACTGCGCCGTTATTTGTCTGTTTGTGGCCCACCTGTTAGCTTGCACAATTCTTGCCATTCACCTTCGACCTCTCTCATCAATGAGCTGTTTTCACCCACAGGACTGCCGCTGACTGGATGTTTTTTGTTTGTCGCACCATTCTCGGGAACCCCTAGACACTGTTGTGCGTCAAAAGCCCAGGAGGGAAGCAGTGCGCCTGACACCGATGATCATACCACGCTCAAAGTCACTTAGCACACTTGTTTTGCCCATTCTAACGTTCAATCGAACAGTAACTGAATGCTTCGATGCCTGTCTGCCTGCTTTATATAGCAAGCCACGGCCTGTTGAAAGACAATGTGGTTACTGAGAATAGAGGGAGAGAAGTAGGGAAGGAAGGAAGGAGGTCATGGCACCTTGGAGAGGCATACCGGGCATGGACAAGATACATATTTTGTGCCCTTGCCTTTGGCAAAGTGGGCACTGCTTATCATGGGACGCCATCAGCGCTCACCTTAATAGCCCATATGCTACTGGGTGAGAGAAGTATTCATTGTTTTGGGGCAGAATTATGTGAGGTGTTAGAGGTGAGTCTTGGTCAGTTTAGCTCGGAAAATGCCACTCTCAATCTGCCGCTCTAGGCGTCGGCCTAATCCTGCCTAATGGGTGGGCCGGCCCTGGGCACCATTGTTAGTAATGTTACAGTAAAACCCTCATGGCTGGACGGCTGTGATGTTCTGACCACACTGTTACTTCCTGCTGCCGGGGAAACACTTCCTGCCTTGGTCACATGCTCTCAACCAATCACATTCTGACACAGACGAGCTGAAGGTGAAGCCATGACTTCCTTCCTTCCCTACTTCTCTCCCTCTATTCTCTGTAGCCACATTGTCTTTCAACAGGTGGCTTCACTCCTATGTGACACTAGTCCTTTGACTAAGAATTTCACTATCTGACATAAGACAATGCAGTAGCCATTAAGGGACGAGAGCTGACTGACTCTGACTGTGATCAATTGAAAGGATACAGCAGATATGGATCCTATCCACATCATGGCCTGTTGGCAGCAGTCACTAATGAGTTAAACATGCGACTAGTCTGAACTGAAACTGGCCCTCTGTACATCATAATGTTCTCTCTCTCTCTCTCTCTCTCTCTCTCTCTCTCTCTCTCTCTCTCTCTCTCTCAGTGCTGCAGGGTAGGGCCATAGAGGAAGGCCGATTACCCTGAGTTAATAATGTGGAAAAAGCACAGGGGAGAATACAGTGGCCACAGAGAACAGTCAAGCCTGCGACACGCAACCTCTCTCCTCTGAAAGTAAACAACCCATTAGGCAGTGGTGACTCACTGTATGTGTGTGCAGGGGCAAAGAGGGGTCATGGGGTCAATTAGACCAAAAATGGACACCAGCAGTCATCACACACAGAAAGTCTAAGTTACAGCATTAGAATTAAAAGAACGGACGTTTCCATTCACAACAAATCTCCTCCGTGGTGGATGAACAGGTGGAATACTATTTGGAAGAATGTTCATGTAATTGATACTTATATCATGTTTATTTCAACTGTTCACAATACATTATAAAACTCCACTTCACTCCAATATTCTAGAACTCTTGCTTTTGAATAGATGGTGTGCCAAACAGGGCTTGTAAATCAGTGGCTTATAAATGTAATGCTTATGTTTCACCTATTTTTCGCAGGTTAGCATTTTTCGTCATGAATCTTGTTCAGGAGGCAGCTCTGCAGAATGTTTACTAGCTGGCACAGCCACAAAGTCATAACACCTGATTTTAAACCTAACCCTAACCTTAAGCCTAACCTTTACCCCAACCTTAAATTAAGAACAAAAAGCACAGTTTTGTTTTCATAAATTTTTACAATATAGCCAATTTTGACTTTGCAGCTGGCCCATCTAGCGGAAATCGCTCAGTTCTGCCTCCAGGACAAGACTCATCCCAGTAAATGACAACCTGCCTATTTTTCTCACCTTGGTGAGGAAGGAGTGTCTTCTAAAGACAAGTGTTTCAGGGCGCAGTGTTTAGTCCATGTTATAAATTCATTGGGTCATTGAGTTTGAGGGAGAAGGTATAAAACTGAGCGTGTGTTTGCATAGTTTGTGTGAACTTGGATCATTTGTTTTATCATACTTTGACCTATTACCAGGGGCCCCAGGCAGAGACCAGTCTGAGCCCCCCCCCCCCCCCCCCCCCCTCCCACCTCTTAATGTGCCATGAACACAATTAGTCATGAGGTTTTCATCTGATTGTCAAACCCATCACTTCAAAAGTAGGTTACCTTCGCATGTTCATCCACAATAATTCCAGTATCCAAACATCCGAGTGAGCAAAACACCCCCATCTTACTATATGTAGCCAATGTATCGGATGCTGTCTGGCCAAAAAGAGCATGACATGCCATACTATTTTTGGCCAGACAGCATCAGATACATGGGCTGCACATACAGTACATATTCTATCAGCAGCACCTGTCTTTTTACTAAAGAAATTCGTTAACTTAGGTAATGTTTCTGTTAAAATGAAATATTTATTTATTTATCTTTTCTTGGCCCCACTCTGAAAGCACCTCATTGCTGCAGCTTCATTTCAATGAAAGTCCCGTTTGCAATCATATCGTGTGAAACAATGCACGGGAACTCTGTCAGGGGAGGGTGCAGCAGTTGGTGGGCCTTGAGCGGAGCATGTGGTGGCCTCAAGCAGAGAAAAAAAAGATTACTAGTATAATTTCACGAGGCCCCTTGATGATGTGAGGCCTGAGGCAATTGCCTCTTCTGCCTAATGGTAAGTCCGCCACTGCCTATTGCTAGACTGTGAAACCAAAAAGACTGTTGAACAAAAGGATACGTACACAATAAAGGGGGGATATGTATATGGTGCCAGCACTGTGAGGATGTTAAGCCTGTTTAGTATGTTTGGGTCAATTCTGTCCTAGAGAAGAACTATCTCCCTCAGTTTATAGTTTATATGTTGTGTTTAATTGCCATCTAGTGGTGACGAGTGAGATTGCAAGGCCATTTTCAACACCAACCACAGGCAGTGAATTGATAACAATTAAACAAAAAGTATATAAATATAAGCACACTAGATACAGGTAGGAACAGGATGCACTCGATGGAATTATTTTCTTAAACTTCTGTTGTTTTATTTTCTAATCAAGTTAGAAGAATACCTCATTGAACCCATACTGACTGTAGAAGTATCCATCTTCTAGTTCGTGCTTATTAAATCACATCCTGAGAATGAAGCTATTCATTAATGATATTTCACATCAATCAATTGTCAATACACAGTACACTAATGACAAACCCTAACATATGAACCAAATACTATTATTGCAGCTATGATTATAACATATTTCCTAACATTGGGGTGTTAAAAAGAGCACTTTCTCCCAAACAAAACTTGAATAAAATTGAATAACACAATTGAATATACACTATATACTAATTGTAAATATATGAAAGTATGATATCACACCAATATAATTCATATTGCCATAGCCAATACATAGGCTACACTATCAAATGTGTGGGTACAGTCAACTTCTGATAAGTGCATATTGGATAAGTGCACACATTATTTTGACTTGCTCCGGATATCTGCATGCTATGTGCATGCTCCAATTAAGTGGAGCTAGAAACAGTGCATGTATTCATGCCAGTCCAAGCACCTGCATACTGTACGTCATGAGTTGACTGTACTTTAGGCCCTAAAAATGGGTGGACACTAACATGAGGTCATTTGCATCTACAGTATGAATAGCAAACTGTTGACAAACTGCACACATTTCATATACAACAAATATATACATATAAATCTAAGTAACAATACAAAATGTTTTACCTTACTTTAGTCTTTACTTACTATTAAGAACCCATCTATATTTCCTGTCAAAAACGTTTAATGCAAGGCAAGCTGTAAGTCTACAACAATATATGTAAAAGTTTAAAAATATTGAAGACCTTGAGAATGCTTTCTAAGAACTCTAAAGCAGGGCTCTCCAACCCTGTTCCTAGAGAGCTACCCTCCTGTAGGTTTTCGTTTCAACCCCAGTAACTTACCTGATTCAGTTTATCAAACAGCTAATTATTAGAATCAGGTGCTCTAGATTAGGGTTGAAGTGAAAACCTACAGGACGGTAGCTCTCCAGGAACAGGGTTGGAGAGCCCTGCCCTAAAGGGATATCACACACACAGTGCAGAGGAATCTTCTCATTACTAAAACTCGTATATATAACTTATTTACAGAGAAAGCCAGCTCCTCGTGTGTGTAGAGTATATTTGGATGCTGTGAGTCAGTATGGTGATTTGTGGGACCAATTCTGTGTGTGGGATCTAATCTGTGTGTTTGATTGTGTGTAGACAACCCAGCAGAGGGCACTGTTCTGTGTTTGTGGCATGACTTCCCCTTCTTTTCTATTCTGCTGTAGATCTTTGGAAAATATTGCACTTGTCCAAGACCAGCAGCCGTTCTGAAAGCACTGGAACCACTGATCTTGAATAGAATGTTCCTGGAATCTTCTTGCTGTCATCCTGCTGTCAATCATCATGTAAGGGGCATGTCGTCTAGCCTACAGACACTCCTCCTCTTTCACATACAGGATCTCATGGGCTGAACTAGGGACCTTGTAGACAGATAGACAGAGACAGAGTTAAAAAAACAAGTGTATGTGTGTGACAACATGCAGAGCAATATTCCAGCACCTGGTTGACTCCTCCAACCACCAGCAGGCGGTCCCTGATGACGATGGAGGAGGCGGAGCATCGTGGCATTGCCATAGGAGCCAGTCTCTCCCACTTCCTTTTCTGAGGGTGGAAGGCTTCCACCGTGTCCAGAACTGAGGGCTGGTGACCTGGGGACCACACACGGCCATCACACATTGTCAAGACCAACTAGGTGTCATCAAAAACACACGTATACAAGCACATATACACACACATTCACACTCCCTCCCTCACCGAGTCCTCCTGCTACAACCATCCTGCCCCTGAGGAAAGCTGAGGCGAAGTCAGCCCTCTTAGTCTTCATGGCCACCGTGTCCTCTGACTTCAGCCATGACCCTGGAGGGAGAGGATGATGTTAGAGTTTCTGTATGCAAGTGTCAACCACCTTTTAGTGGAGGCATTGAAGTGTTGTAAAATCCACTTTGACCACTGCATAAAACTCCAGCAAGATTACATTTTTCTTTGTTCTGCAAGCTACAATTTGGTGTTCTTGAATGCTGGTGGCATCACGACTCAGTAAGAAATACTGTGCGTACCATGAATACAAATGTCCTCGCACTCACACGTGGGCACAATGCACGCACACACACACCAAACTACCAGGTCATGGCCCAAGATATTGGAATAGAGACAATTTCCCTATAAAACCACCCAGTCGGAACATTTTAATTGCTTCAAAGGAGAAAAACAAGCTATTTCCCTCTTGCAGTCTGGCAGGAGATGACCTTTGGAGTACATTGGCATATTATTTACACTTCTACTTAGGCAAACACTTGTGTGGCTAAAGACAGTGAAACTATTTCAGAGAAACAGCAATTAGGGAGAATACACAGTAAGTTTTTCAAATACTATTTTTAAGCTTTTATGTTGTTGTGCCTCATCTGTCTGTAGTTTAGTATTTCTGGCATCACAATCAGCTCCACAGCTCCACAGAGAGAGATACAGAGACAGAGAGACAGCGAGAGAGAGAAACTGAACCAGCAAATAAAAGCACTTTGTTAATAAAGTGTTTTGATGCCAGCCCAGACTTGAACTTGAAAGGGAATAAGGCAGAGCACAGCTGGCGATGGGCACACTGCTCTGCCACTCACTGCCAAGGCCTTTGTTGTTGAAGTGGTGGCACTCTCAGGGGCTTCCTCTAAATAACTTTTTAAAACATATCATATTCAGCACTAAGTAAGTTCCCTTCAGATTCAGAGTGAGGGGAACACACTAACACAATAGCAGGAATATACAGTTGAAGTCGGAAGTTTACGTACACTTAGGTTGGAGTCATTAAATCTCGTTTTTCAACCACTCCACAAACTTCTTGTTAACAAACTATAGTTTTGGCAAGTCAGTTAGAACATCTATTTTGTGCATGACACAATACATTTTTACAACAATTGTTTACAGACCGATTATTTCACTTATAATTCACTGTATCACAAGTGGGTCAGAAGTTTACATACACTAAGTTGACTGTGACTTTAAACAGCTTGGAAAATTCCAGAAAATGATGTCATGGCTTTAGAAGCTTCTGATAGGCTAATTGACATAATTTGAGTCAATTGGAGGTGTACCTGTGGATGTATCTCAAGGCCTACCTTCGAACTCAGTGCCTCTTTGCTTGACATCATGGGAAAATCAAAATAAATCAGCCAAGACCTCAGAAAAAAAATTGTAGACCTCCACAAGTCTGGTTCATCCTTGGAAGCAATTTCCAAACTTCTGAAGGTACCACGTTCATCTGTACAAACAATAGTATGCAAGTATAAACACCATGGGACCACGCAGCCGTCACACCGCTCAGGAAGGAGACGCGTTCTGTCTCCTAGAGATGAACGTACTTTGGTGCGAAAAGTGCAAATCAATCCCAGAACAACAGCAAAGGACCTTGTGAAGATGCTGAATGAAACACGTACAAAAGTATCTATGTCCACAGTAAAACAAGTCCTATATCGACATATCCAAGATAGCATAGCAGGGTGGTCGTGTTTTCTGTAGTGTCCTTGTGTAAATAGACAGTTTTTTGTTTGTTTTTTATCTTTGTATATATTTCTCAATTTTACTTTTCATTCTTTAACTAAATATACTTTCCTGCAACCCACCTCACGTGGAAAGGATTCTATTATTTCTTTATAACTTTTATCAAGAACCTTAAGCTGAAACTAGTCTAGCTGCAACCGAATGGCTGTGGTAGCCAGCTAGCTAGCTACTTGCTATTAGCCACCGTTAGCAGTCTAAACCATTGTCCGTGGCCTGCACTACCCACCAGCCAGCTCTAGCTCTAGCCTGGACAATTTGTCGGCCAGTCTGCACAGCGTGCTATCGACCCAGAGCATATTCGATTTTCTGCCGGAATCACTGGACCCTAGCGCCGGATCATCGCAACTAGCTAGCTGCAACCGAATAGCTGTTGTCGTTGGCTAATTACCATTGCCCCTTAGCAAGCACCAGTTAGCCTTGAGCTAGCCTCGAGCCAGGCCCATCTCCCGGCTATCTACCTCTCTGTCAACCGGACGGGACCACCTAGTGTTGACACGGAGCCCCGCTGATCCAACACGACTGGTCTGCCGACGAAATCGTCTGATGTGGTTTTAACAGGCTTCCCGTTACGACGTCGACCATGAAGATCCATCTGCTAGCCCCGGCCCGCTAGCACACGCAAGCCGTGCCGCTTGCTCGCCAGTGCTGTAGCAGCCCCCGAACTACCTCCGAACTCTCCTATTGCTGTTCACTGGACCTTATGATAACTCAGCTATACAGCTGATGCCTGCTGGACTGTTCCTTTATACAGTACCGCATCCGGTTTATGTTTAGCTTAAGCCCAAACTTTGTCGCCATTACCAGCTGTTGTCTTAGCTCTCTCGAATAACACCTGTGATTGCTTTATGCCATCTCTCCCTGCACAACGCTCTTACCCACTAAGCTACCTGCGCCCCCACTGTGATGCTTATGCCTCTCTCCATGTCAATATGCCTTGCTTATGCTGTTTCGGTTATTTCTTATGTGAATATTCACTGTAGAGCCCCCAGTCCAGCTCAACCTGCCTTAGATAGCTCCTTTGTCCCACCCCCCATCACGCGGAGACCGACTCAATCTGTGCCTCCAGTGATGCTATATCTTTCATCATTACCCAACGCTTAGGTTTACCTCCACTGTACTCATATCCTTCCATATCCTTTTGTCTGTACATAATGCCCTGAATCTATTCTACAACGCCCGGAAATCGGCCCTTTTTTTCTCTGTACCACGCACTAGAAGACCAGTTCTTAAGCCTTAGCGTATCCTTATTTACTCTCCTTGTCCTCTGGTGATGTAGAGTAACCCAGGCCTGTAGCCCCCAGTATCACTCCTACTCCCCAGGCGTTATATTTGTTGACTTCTGTAACCGTAAAAGCCTTGGCGATAGAACTGCCAAAGGGGGTGGGGTTGCAATCTACTGTAGAGAGAGCCTGCAGAGCTCTATCGTACTATCCAGGTCTGTGCCCAAACAGTTTGAGCTTCTACTTCTAAAAATCCACCTTTCCAGAAATAAGTCTCTCACTGTTGCCGCTTGCTACAGACCCCCCTCAGTTCCGAGCTGTGCCCTGGACACCATATGTGAACTGATTGCCCCCCATCTATCCTCAGAGTTCGTACTGCTTGGTGACCTAAACTGGGATATGCTTACCACCCCGGCCAACCTACAATCTAAACTAGATGCCCTCAATCTCACACAAATTATTAACGAACCTACCAGGTACAACCCTAAATCTGTAAACATGGGCACCCTCATAGATATCATCCTGACTAACTTACCCTCTAAATACACCGCTGTCTTCAACCAGGATCTCAGCGATCACTGCCTTATTGCCTGCGTCCGTAACGCGTCCGCGGTCAAACGACCACCCCTCATCACTGTCAAACGCTCACTTTAGCGAGCAGGCCTTCTTAATTGACCTGGCCCAGGTATCGTGGATGGATATCGATCTCATTCTGTCAGTAGAGGATGCCTGGTTGTTCTTTAAAAGTGCTTTCCTCTCAATCTTAAATAAGCATGCCCCATTCAAAAAATTCAGAACTAAGAACAGATATAGCCCCTGGTTCTCCTCAGACTTGACTGCCCTTGACCAGCACAAAAACATCCTGTGGCGTACTGCATTAGCATCGAACAGCCCCCGCGATATGCAACTTTTCAGGGAAGTCAGGAACCAATATACACAATCAGTTAGGAAAGCAAAAGCTAGCTTTTTCAAACAGAAATTTGCATCCTGTAGCACTAACTCCAAAAAGTTTTGGGATACTGTAAAGTCCATGGAGAATAAGAGCACCTCCTCCCAACTGCCCACTGCACTGAGGCTAGGAAACACTGTCACCACCGATTTAAATCTACAAGAATCGAGAATTTCAACAAGCATTTTGCTACTGCTGGCCATGCTTTTCCACCTGGCTACCACTACCCCGGCCACCAGCTCTGCACCCTCCGCTGCAACTTGTCCCATGCCCCCCCCCCCCACTTCTCCTTTACACAAATTCAGACAGCTGATATTCTGAAAGAGCTGAAAAATCTGGACCCCTACAAATCAGCTGGGCTAGACAATCTGGACCCTTTCTTTCTAAAATTAGCCGCCGAAATTGTCGCAACCCCTATTACTAGCCCTTTCAACCTCTCTTTCGTAACGTCTGAGATCCCCAGAGATTGGAAAGCTGCCGCGGTCATCCCCCTCTTCAAAGGGGGTGACACTCTAGATCCAAACGGTTACAGACCTATATCCATCCTGCCCTGCCTTTCGAAAGTATTTGAAAGCCAAGTTAACAAACAGATCACCGACCATTTCGAATCCCACCGTACCTTCTCCACTATGCAATCCGGTTTCCGAGCTGGTCATGGGTGCACCTCAGCCACGCTCAAGGTCCTAAACGATATTATAACCGCGATTGATAAAAGACAGTACTGCGCAGCCGTCTTCATCGACCTGGCCAAGGCTTTCGACTCTGTCAACCACCGCATTCTTATTGGCAGACTAAATAGCCTTGGTTTCTCAAATGACTGCCTCGCCTGGTTCACCAACTACTTCTCAGATAGAGTTCAATGTGTCAAATCGGAGGGCCTGTTGTCTGGACCTCTGGCAGTCTCTATGGGGGTGCCACAGGGTTCAATTCTCGGGCCGACTCTATTCTCTGTGTATATCAATGATGTCGCTCTTGCTGCTGGTGACGCTCGGAGCCACCTCTATGCGGATGACACCATTTTGTATACATCTGGCCATTCATTGGACACTGTGTTAACAAACCTCCAAACGAGCTTCAACGCCATACAACACTCCTTCCGTAGCCTCC